AAATCTATATGGATTTTGTGGTTTTAATCGTTTGCACAAAATACATAGATTAAACCCACAAAAATCCATATAGATTCAAATATTCCAATTAAGGACAATTTGATATTATTTGTTTAATGTGTTCATCCCGGATTAACAAACTTTCCAGCGTCAAACTTTTCAGAGTTGTCCAATTTAGTACGCATTTTTCTAATGTTATGCAATTCTTGCAGTTGAGTTTTATAATCGATGAACTACTACAGAGAACTTCTGGCAAGCTATAGGGTTGGTCATGATGTCCAGTCGGATAAGCAATTCTATAACATATATTCAAGCATAAATCCTCCACTCTCTTTTTCACAACAAATTCAATCCACTTGTCAATTACGGGAAACTAAGAAACGCCATCATCAAGTTTGAACATAAAGTTTAGACTAAACTTTTTAATGGTAGAGTAGTTAATGAGAGACAGTACATTATCCGTTAAGGAAATGAATATATGCAGTGTCAAGATTAATAATGACTGCAATTGATCCATCCCGATCATCCTAACGGGGATCGATATTCAATCAAAGGTGATACATGCTGCTTTGAAATTATTGCTCCATATGTTGAACATTTAACTATTTCTGGATTTTAATCATATGAAAATTAAGTTAAGGGACTTGTCATCTTTGAACCACGCAAATCTTGATCTCTACCGTGATGAATTAGATGAAATGAATGAAAACATAGAGAGAGATCTTTTGGCAAGCGTTCGTTGTGCTAATGAGCTAATGATGTCATCCTGGTTTACCAAGGTCAGTTATCAATCCCAAATGTCTCCAGTCTTTTTATGTTGATTGTGAATTGAGCTCGTGTTTTCTACCTATCAACTTGATTGTACGATGGGGGTCATCCTTTTTTAAATTAACCTGATTATTTATCTATTGATTAACTTCCTTTTAATTAACTCATATAGTTTTAATTTAGTAGGTGAGGTTAAATATTAGTTCCTTTTATTGGTCTAAGCTATAAGGTGTTACAAGAATGGGAAATCACTAGAGGTTTAGTTTGTAAGCCCTGTAAATTAATGTACTTACCATTATTCTTCCTTATTCTTCTATTCAGGTGATTTCCAGTTGGATGTTGGAAGAGGAACACATCTCCTTAATGTTGCTCGAATGCACATGGTTGACAATAAGTTCTTGTATTTCAAAACTTTCCTTCCCCTACAGAACCTCTTAAGGTCGAGTCGTAATTTATAAAACCTAATGATATTTCTTGATATGCTAGTATTTTTTCAATTCACAATATCTTTATGTCAAATGTATATTGATCCTTTACAGCCTCAACGACTTCAATTTCATTACTATAGTTGTGAAACTTACCACCTAACTCGATTTGTCCTTGTTATGTATTTGTAGTACCATGATTTTTTTAGGGCGAAGACATTGATATGCTGGAAGACAACTACCTCTCGTTTGAACGAAACATATTCAAAGTTTCCTTACAGAATTTGAAGAATGTCAAGGTTATGGCATTTTGTAATCGTACTCATAGTTTTGACGCAATAAAGCTCCATCAATTCTTGATGTTCTTACTTGAGCATGCAATAAATCCCAAGAAACTTGTTATAGTACCAGAGCATAAGGATTGCAACAGTTGTTCTACTAATACCTCAAATCTAATGAAGCATTTGTTAGCTTTCCAACAAGTGCAATTATTTCCTTCGGACCAATTAATCATAGTGTTTTCTATTCCTAGTTTGTTGCTCTTATTTTTGTTGATTTTTTTTTTGTTTTAATGAGGATAACTTCTTATAAAAATTAAATTATGTATCACCCACTAATTAGAACAAAAAATAGCTGATCGTCCCTTAACCTATGGTTTGTGGTCGTAAAAAGGAGAGCTAGTTTGCATCTTCATATACAAGGATGGAATCAACCTTCTTAGGATTGGACTAGCTGGCTGGGCGGCCAAGATTGATTATCACTCTTTCTAGCTGGCCTAGAAGTTGACTGGATTACTAGATATTGTGGTTACTTGGGTTGGCATCCTGACTTTGGTTTTTTGGGTATGGATTTGTGGTGCCTTTCTCTCTTATAGACTTAGTTACTCTTTATACCTATTGGGCTTACGTGGGTCTGTTTGAGTTTCTTTTTAACATGTGCATGAGTGTATATTCTAGGCTTAAAGGGGTCGAGTTCGGTTTAGTCTAGATGTATTTAGATTTACTTTTAATATGCTCGTATGCTTTGTTTCATATCCATTTTGACCTCTCATGTGTTACCATAGGTTTTGTTCTTTCTCAGGTGACTTAGGATTAGGGTTATTCAGGCTGGATATTTCTTGTGATTCCTTGTGAGGGGACGTTGATACACGGTGGTTTAGTATTGATAGATCTCATATTCGACATCCTTTTGGTAGTCAACACCACTTGGGACACTCTTTCTAGTTGGATGGCTTTGAAGTGGTCTGGCTAGATGGGCGAATTTGATATCTTGAGACCCTATTTGAATTCGTCACCCCCCCATGTTAGTCTTGCTAGTTGGGCTGGGAGTGGACTAGCTGGCTGGGTGACCTAGATTGATTATCACTCTTGCTAGCTGGGCTGGAAGTTGACTGGATTACTAGGTATTGTGGTTACTTGGGTTGGGAGCCTAGATTTTGTTTCTTGGGTTTGGATTTGTGGTGACTTTTTCTCTTGTAGACTTAGTTACTCTTTATACATGTCGGGCTTACAGGGTCTATCTAATTTTCATTTAAACATGTGCATGAGTGTTTGTGATAGGCTTATAGGGGTCAGTTAGTTTTAGCTTAGCTGTACTTAGATTTACTTGCGGTATGCTCGTATGCTTTCTTTCATATCCGCTTTCATCTCTGTCTGTTTCTAGATTCTATCTTTTCATATTGCTTTTACCTTTCTTGCTCAGTCGACACGTGATGTCTACAAAGTACCCTGTTTTAATACTCATGCTACAATCTTAATATGTTTCATCATGTAGGTCCTAGTACCAGCTAGCAGTGGTGATTGATTGTGTAATTAGAAGAATTAGGGATTTGGAGATCAGTGTGAGCACTTGGACCAATTAGTCATAATGTTTGTGCTAATGAAGCATTTGTTAGCTTTTCCAACAAGTGCAATTATTTCCTTCGAACCAATTAGTCATAATGTTTTCTATTCCTAATTTGTTACTCTTATTTTTGTTGACATTTGTTTTTTGTTTTAATGAGGACAACTTGTTATGAAAATTAAGTTATGTGCCAGTCATTAATTATAACAAAAAATAGTTGATCGTTCCTTAACCTATAGTTTGTGCTCGTAAAAAGGAGAGCTAGTTTTCATCTCCCCCTACAAGGATGGAATCAACCTTTGGGTTTTACGTGTTACCACACATCCATTTAAGGCATTCCAACTCGGTGGGACCAACAAAGAATGTGGTCCATTTGATGGTACTGCTTCTCTCTTAGCAAGAAGTTTCTGGATCTAGCTTTCGGTATAGAAAAATCTTTGGTAGGAGTGTTACCCCCAAATGGGCCCTAACGGACACAAAGAATCATTTAGGCTCCAATGTGGATATCAAACAATAAAAAATAAAAAAAATTAAAAATTAGGAGCCATTTTTTATGAAATTTAGTTATCTTTTATAGTAGAACTAGATAAAGGATACCCGTGCAAGGCACGTGCTTTAAGAAGTGTAGAGATGCAAATAAAGAAAAGACAATTAAGCCTAATATTAACATATTTATGTTTCATCATATGTTATATTTAGTTTGCGGAAAATTATACTGAGAGCTTGCTAGAAAGGCTACAACATATCATAGTCTTTTTTAATTTATCTGCTAAGCCTTAGGCTATGGAAGAAGCACCACAAACTTCTTGTTTGAAGGTCCACCCATAGTTCGACTACCTGAGCAGTGGAAGGAGTCGATCTCTAATAAAATAACAATGTAACTGTTATAATAAGTGTTGCTAAATGACACAGAAAGAAACAAATGTCTTTACAACATAAATGTTATGAAACTAAAGTTCCAAAATGATGGATGTGTTAGTTGCGTATTTCACCATTGGTGATGCTTAAATGCAACAAAAAAAGTGTTGGTATCAAGAAATTAAACCCAGCTCCAGCAGAAGATGATAGATGAGTCAACTACATTAAATCAACCTTCACAAAGAAGGATAAGACACTTATATCCTTATTCATTATCATTGTCCATTTGTTGTATGATGGATTAAATCACATTCCTTTATTTTTTACTACTGTAAATAGTTGTTAGTATGCAGTTTATAGTGAGAAGCCCTTACACACGTTGGAAACTAGGATAAGTTCAGTAGTAGTGTAGGACTTATCTTCTCCACAATTTTGAAATGTTTGTTACAAGGTAGCCAATAGAAATAGGACAGCTGTAAGCATATGATTGGTTTTCTTCTCTTAGCTTTGATTATAAATTCTTGTATAGAGCATGATCAGAAATACAACAAATATTTTCCATCGTATTCCTTTTTTTTCTTCAAGAAGGCAAAAGCTTTGAACAAATGCATAGAAATGCTAATCCAATTCTTATAAAATAAAATCATTGAGACAATAAAAAATTAGACGTCATAGCAATAACAATAACAATTATAGAAGTTGGAAAAATAAGAACAGTAATAGTAAAGTTGGAAGATTTAAAGGGTTTGTTGGTAAATTTTAGAAATATGAGCTATTAGAGAGAAGAGAAGTCAAGAAGAATATCGGTAGAGGAACATTTTTATTGATGTCTTCAGATTACATTTATAAGACTAGAATAAAAAACAGAAAGCAGAAAGCAAGAAACCCACGACTAGAAGATTCCTAACTCACTAAAGCAGTAAAAGTAAATATAATTGTAGTTGATAAGGCAAATTCCTAACACTCCTCCTTGCTTTGGAAACTTTAAACTCCAATTTTCTGTCTGAGATGCAAAAACTTACTGACTGGTAAAGGCTTAATGAATATATCAGCCAATTGTTTTTCCGACTTGCAGTAGACAAGAGTTATATCTCCATCTTTTTGCACTTATCTCAAGAAAAAGAACTTGATTTTGAAGTGCTGAGTTCTTCCATGAAACACAAGATTGTGAGATATAGCTATTGTTGCTTCATTGTCCACGAACACTTTGATGCTTCCAGTTGGTTCCATATGCAAATAAACCAGAATTTTGTTCAGCCACAATGCTAGATTTACTGCTGTTGTAGCTAACACAAACTCAGCTTCAGCAGTAGATTGAGCTACAATATCTTGTTTCTTACAACCCCATGAGAAAATTCCAGAACCAAGACTAAAACAGTACCCTGAAGTACTCTTTGCATCATCCTCGGGACCACACCAATCACTGTCGGAATACCCACAAAGATTCATAGGTTGACTCTTCTGAAACATGACTCCATAGGTGATGCTTCCTTTGATGTATCGCACAATTCTTTTGGCTGCCTGCAAATGTACTTGACTAGGACAATGCATGAACCTTGATAAAATACCTACAACATACAATATATCGGGTCTTGTTGCTCTAAGATACATTAAACACCCAATGAAACTTCTGACGTATGTTTCATCCCCCTTTCCGGCTCCATCATCTTTACTTAGTTTCTCTTTTTGGTTCATGGGAGTACTAATCTCTTTGCAATTTTCCATTTTGAATTTCTTGAGAATTTCCTTTGCGTACCTTTTCTGGCAAACGAGAAAATCATATTTTCCTTGTGTAATCTCCATTCCAAGGAAATATGTCATAACACCAAGATCAGACATTTCAAAAACTTGCATCATATCTTGCTTGAACTCATCAATTAGCTTTTCACTGTGCCCTGTAATCAAAAGGTCATCCACATAAAGAGAAATAAAAAGAATCTCACTGCTATTATGTTTAACATATAGTGTGAATTCTGAAAATGCTCCCTGTAATCTAAAGGTCATCCGCATAAAGAGAAACAACAAGAATCTCACTGCTATTATGTTTAACATACAATGTGAATTCTGAAAGACTCTTTTCAAAATCGAGACCGAGCAAATAATCATCTATTCTACTATATCAAGCTCTTGGTGCCTGTTTTAAGCCATAAAGAGCTTTATGTAGTAGATAGACTTTATCTTCCTTTCCATCTATAACAAACCCTTGAGGTTGCTCAACATAAATTTCTTCTTCAAGAATTCCATTAAGAAATGCTGATTTGACATCCATCTGATGCACTTTCCATCCATGTTGTGCAAACATAGTTAAGCAATCTAATCGTGTCGAGCCTAACTATTGGAGAAAAAGTGTCAAAATAATCAATAAAAAAAATCTACACATAACCCTTCACTACAAGCCTTGTTTTATGCTTCTTGATTGAACCATCAACATTTAGCTGGGTTCGGAACACCCACTTTACCCCAATTACTTTTATGCCTTGAGGTTTCTCAACAAGCTGCCACGTATCATTTTTTTCAATCATAAACAACTCCTCCTCCATTGCATTTCTCCACTTGGAGTGTTTGAGAGCATCTTTAGGGTTAAGAGGTTCAAGAATCGCAACATTGCATCTCTCATATATATAGGAAAGCAATCGAGTTCCCCTAACTGGTGGTTCATCGTCCCTTTCATTTAACTACGAGCTTGTTTTCTGGACGGAATTCGTTGAGTCATCCCAATCCCATTCTTCATACTCCATGAAGTGAACATCTCTGCTGATAACTATCTTCTCACCTTCAGGTTGAAAGATTTTGTACACTTTTGAAACATTAATGTACCCAATAAAAATGCCCGGGGCAGCCTTTTTATCTAGTTTATCCCATTTGACCTGAGGTACATAGGTAAAACAAAGACAACCAAACGGTTTAAGAAAATGCAGCAAAGGCTTGTATCCATACCATGCTTCAAAAGGAGTTTGATCTTTCACAGATTTTGAGGGAAGTCGATTTTGTAGGAACACAACTGTATTTGCTGCCTCTCCCCAAAACATCTTTGGCAAATTCTTTTCGTGCAACATACATCTTGCCATCTCCATGATAAATCTATTTTTCTCTCACTAACTCCATTTTGATCTGAAGTATAAGGAGCATTAAGCTGACGTTCAATCCGTGCTTCTTTACAAAATAGACCAAACTAATGAGAAGTGTACTCCTTGCCATTGTCAAATCGTAAAATCTGATTTTCCAGCAACTTTCATTTTCCAACTTCGCTTTCAACTTCCCAAAAATGCTCTTGACCTCCGATTAATACTTTAAAAAATAAATCCAGCACATTCGGGTCAGATCATCAGTAAAAATAACATAATATAAACTACCTTTAAGTGAAGGAGTACTTTGGGGTCCTCCAATATCGGTGTGAACCAGCCACAACTTTCTTGTTACTCTCCAAGTTTCCTTTGGGAATGAAAGTCTACTTTGTTTTCCAAATTGACATGTCCAACAATTTTTAGAACTCTCTCCTAGTTTCGAAAGGAACTCGACTATCACCAATTCTTGCATTTTGAGAAGCCCTTGATAATGATAGTGTCCGAGACTCTTTTGCCATAACTCGGAAGCATTTTCTCTTGCCGAATACACCACTTGTTCTTCCTTCAATGGATTTAATGAGAAACTTTTGCCTCTTATTTTGACTTTAAACAAGTCATGTCCTGAGGCTTCCCTGATCAACAAATGTTTATCTTTTAAATACAATTTGAAACATTTTTCTAACAATTGACCAACACTTAACAAGTTCTTATCTAAATCTGGTACATAAAGATCATCGAAAATTGCTTTAGTACCTGATTGTGTTTCAATTTTAATAGTTCCCATTCCTTTTACCGAAATATAACCGCCATGCCCTATTCTGACTTTTGTAACTCCAGTAGTCTTTAAGTCTTTAAAGAGCTCTTTGTCATGAGTCATATGGTTTGTGCATCCTCTATCAATCGGCCAAGCCTCAGGTGAAACATTTCTTACAAAACACGATCCCCCAAAGAGTTGATACTCTTCCTGTTCATTGACAACCTGGGCGTCTGTGTGTTGCTGCTGCATTTTATTTTTGCAGATAATTGCTTCATGCCCGAGTTGGTTGCACTTACTGCATTTAGCATCCAGCCTTTTCCAACACTTCTATGGTGCGTGCCCATTCTTTACACAACGCTTACAAGGAGGATAGTTTCCTTTGAAGCTACCTGCTTTGCTTTTGTTGCTGTAGCTAGCTGCTCCTTCTCCATTTGTTGGCTGGTTCTTCTTATTGTTTTTCTTTTTGTATCCTCCACTCTCTTCATGTTTGGCCGCCAATGCTCCCTCTTCTCTCATAACCCTTCTTTGTTCTTGAGCCTGCAAGGAATTGATTAATTCCGCCAAAGTGATTTTTGACAGATCCTTGGTGTTGTCCAAAGTGGTAATGGTGGCTTCAAATCTTTCAGGTACAGTAACCAGAATCTTTTCAACAATCCGCGAGTCTTTAAACTTTGAACCAAGTACACTTACTCTATTTGCTATGCTCATAAGCCTGTCAGAGTATTCTTTGATGGTTTCCAATTCTTTTATCTTATGTAACTCAAAGTCTCTAATGAGATTCAACACTTGCATACCTCTGATATGATCATATCCTTCATATTCTTCCTTGATATAATCCCACATGGCTTTTGCTGATTTTAGAGACATGATACGAGTGAAAATTGTTGAAGAGACTGCTGAAAAAAGACATGCCTTTGCCTTAGATTTTCTGGGTTTTTTCTCGTTGTGATTTTTGAGTTGAGCCATTTTTGGGTTTCTGGGTAGCGGAAGAACTTCATAGTCTTCCTCGATTGCCTCCCAAAGATCTTAAACTTCGAGATAAGCTTCCATCCTCACTGCCCAAATCTGAAAATTTTCACCATTAAAGACAGGAGGTGCCATTGCCGAGAAACTTGAGCGTTCTTCCATGTTTAATCTTTTGTTGTTTCTACTTGTGGTGCTTGAGTTACTTGAAACAATCACTCAGAGAAATACCTACATATCCCGCAGGATAAAAAAGCTCTCGATACCAATTGTTGGTAAATTTCAAAAGTATAAGTTATTAGAAAGAAGAGAAGCCAAGAAGAATATCGGTAGAAGAACATTTTTATTGATGTCTTTAGATTACATTTATAAAACTAGAATAAAAAACAGAAAGCAGAAAGCAATAAACCCACGACTAGCAGATTCCTAACTCACTAACTTACTCCTAAATATTAGGAATAGATGGCTAACAACTAATTAACTTAGTCTTATCTAATATAAAGCAGTAAAAGTAAACCTCTCTAGAACATAAAACAAAGATTTTTGGAATGGAGATGTGGAAGGCGGTGGATCTAAATTTTTAGAATAGAAGATGAGGAAGGAGGTGGACCTTTGAAACACGTGGAAAGCACAAACACTAACAAATTAACTAAATAAAAATTAACTTTAAGTATAAGGTTGTATTTTACAGCAAAGAGAACATTGAAAAACATATAAATACAACAAAAAACGCACCTCTGGTAAGAAAGATTTGCAAATCTAATTAGCAACACTTCAGATTGAAGGGAAAACCCACAATATTCATGAAAGAAAACGAGGGAAAGAGGTGTACCTTTTCCATGTTGTTGGAAAAAGTAGATCTCTCTAGAACATAAAACTAAGATTTTTGGAATGGAAGATGTGGAAGGCGGAGGATCTACATTTTTGGAATAGAAGATGCGGAAGGTGGTGAACCTTCGAAACACCTGGCAAGCACAAACTCTAACAAATCAACTAAATATAAAATAACTTTATGTAGAAGGTGATAATTTATAGCATATAGAACATTGAAAAACATATAAATCCAGCAAGAAGCGCACCTCCAGTAAGGAAGATTTGCAAATCTTAAAAGCAACACTTCAGATTGATAGGAAAACCACTAATATTCATGAAAGAAAACGGGGGAAGGAGGTGTACCGTTTCCTTATTGTTGGAAGTACTAGACCTCTCTGGAACAAAAAACTAAGATTTCTAGAATGGAATATGTGGAAGGCGGGGGATTTAAATTTTTGGAATAGATGATCTGGAAGGCGGTGGACCTTCGAAACACGCGGCAAGCACAAACACTAACAAATCAACTAAATAAAAATTAACGTAAGTATAAGCTTGTAATTTATAGCAAAGCGAACATTGAAAAAAATATAAATCCTACAAATTCAACAAAAAACGCACCTCCGGTAACGAAGATTTGCGAATCTTATTTGCAACAATTCAGATTGAAGGGAAACCCCACAATAATCATGAAAGAAAACGGGGGATATAGGTGTACCTTTTCCTTCTTGTTGGAAGGAGTAGACCTCTCTGGAACATAAAACTAAGATTTCTGGAATGGAACATGTGGAAGGTGGGGGATCTACATTTTTGGAACAGAAGATGTGGAAGGTAGTGGACCTTCGAAACACACAGCAAGCACCAATACAATCAATCAACTAATAAAAAGTAGCTTTAAGTAGAAGGTGGTAATTTATAGCAAAGAGAACATTGAAAAACATATAAATCCAACAAATACTGCAAAAACCACACCTCCATAAGTAAGATTTGCAAATCTAAATAGCAACACTTCAGACTAAAAGGAAAACCATTAATATTCATGAAAGAAAATGGATGACAGAGGTGTACCTTTTCCTTGTTGTTTGAAGGAGTAGACCTATCTAGAACATAAAACTAAGATTTTCGGAATGGAAGATGTGGAAGGCGGTGGACCTTCCAGACACGCAGCAAGCACAAACACTAACAAATCAACTAAATAAAAGTTAACTTTCAGAAGAAGGTGGTAATTTATAAAAAGGTGAACATTAAAAAACATATAAATCCTACAAATCCCGCAAAAAAAGCATCTCCGGTAAGGAAGATTTGCAAATCTAAATAGAAACACTTCAGATTGAAAGGAAAACCCACAATATTGAAGAAAGAAAATAGGGAAAAGAGGTGTACCTTTCCATGGTTGTTGGAAGGTGTCACGACCCAGACCATCATGATTAGCACCCAGACTACCACTCCGGTGGGAGAACCACTACTACAGGCCAAACCAAGCAACTAAACCAAAAACTAAAGTATTTAAGTTACGGAAGCAACTTAAATACTAAGGAAAGAAATAGGGAGTTCCCATAAACTACAAACAAAAGTCTAATAACGTAACAAAAATGCGGAAATACTACCTAGAACCTGAAAGTTAATGTACCAAAACATCTAAAAATGATCCAAAAGTCTAAACAAGAAGGTTTACAACCCCAAACTAATGAACTAACAACTAACTAG